ATGGAAGACAAATTAAAAAAAAAATTTGAACCTGATATTTTTGTAATACTAATGATCAACAAAAATGAAAAAAAAAAAATTTGACTTTAGAAATTAAATAGATTAATGAAGGAAGCGATTCGTATATTTTGGCAAATATTTTCTCTTAAATACTGTATTATAGTTTATTAAATGTATAATCGCGAATGTTTTGGAATATAATACTAAAATGCATATGCTTGAAAGATTCTTATTTTTTAGTTTCATAATTTTTAAATAATATATACATCATGGAATGTATTTTATTTTTTATGATAATGATGAAAATTAGAATGTCTCAAAAGAAGTCAACTTTTTTAATCGACTTTTTTTCAAAGAAAACAGTTTTATTAAAACTATTTGTTAGGTTCGTGTGTATTTAAAAACTGATTGTTTTAAATACACTAGTTTTAATTATAAACAAATTAGATTCTCTAATACTTTTTAATTTATCACAGATTTTTTTTTATTTTCAGCTCTTGTCGCAAGAAAACGAATAATTTATTTATTAAATAATAAAGTAATTAGTTGTTAATAATTATTAATTTTTTAAAATTAACAAAAAGATTTGAGACATTCTAATAATTTAAGTCGAGAGACTTTTATAAAACAGTGTGTGAATGAATTCTTTACTTTCTACGCAAAATTCTAAACAAAGAAGAGATGCAAAATTTTTGATAGAAATCTTTAGAAAATTTACAATTTTTAAGTAATAATTTTCAAAAAGTGAATGATTATTATCAAGTAGATTAAAATTTATTATTTAATTTATTATTATTTATTATAAGGTATAAATTAAAAATTATAAATTATAAATATATTAAATATCACTTAAGTACTTAAGTTAATATAATTATAATATAATAATTTAATTATATTTTAATCATTCATTTATTATTAGACAAATTTTTATAAAAATTTCTAGATTTTCCTACAGTCGACTCTCGATAAATTGAATCTCAAGGAACGTGAATAAAATTCCTAGGGTTTTATTTAAATCAAATGCTTCAAGTATTAATAATTTTTTTAAGAGACCAGAAAACATTAAATTTACTGAGACATTAAATTTATTTAAAGTTTAATTATTAACGAGAGTTGACTGTAAACATTTTTCAGTGAATTTTATATAAATATTAAATAAACTTTTATATAAATTTCTATATTTATTTTTCTATAGAAATTTTTATAATAATACTTATAATTAGTTATTAAAAAGTATCGCTCAGTTAAGTACTCGATTAATTAAAAATTAATTAAAACTAATAAAATGAAATTCTCATCAAAATTTACACACTGTTTTAAAAAGTAAGAAACATTCTTAAACACTGTAGTTATTTTCTTTTTTTTCTATATAAAGTGGAAATGGCCCTCGAGATACGATTCTTTGCTTTAACTCATCTTTGAATTTTGTAAACTATCATTCAATCATCGTTCAGAAACTAATTAGTCTTGGTCCTTGATTGCCTCTCGTTACAGTGTACACGATTGCTTCACTATCTCATAACAGCATTGAAGCAAAACGCGATTTATTTTTCGATATTACTCCTATATCAGTTCCTATACAAGAATTTTCTCTTTCAATTTTTTTTCTCCTCTCATTTCTATCTCGCGTAAAACATCCATCGTGGAGTAAATAAGCATAATTTCTTCGTTCAACATGCAAATTTAAAGCTTTAAGAATATCTTTTTCCATCACTTTATAAATATATGTATATGTATAACTTTCATCAAATTACAGGCTACAAGTTTTTTTTTTCATTACAAAACTCGTCATAAACTTAAAAAGCTCTCTGTTGACGAAACTTTTTTTTTTTTTTTTTTTTTGCAACGTTCAGTTATACACCTGGATATTATACAAATAACAGGGAGAGACATTTTAATATTACGTTCTATGAATAAAATTTATTGAAACTCGAAGAGAGAAATAAAGGGAAAACATTTTGTTTTCGTTTTATTAGTAATTTTTATTTAAAAGCTTTTTTAATTTAAAAAAAGTTTTTACTCAAAACATTTTTCATTTAGAAAATTTGTTAATAAAGACATTTTTTATTTAAAAACAAGTTTTACTAAAAACATTTTTCAATTTAGAAAATTTGTTACCAAAGACATTTTTTATTTAAAAAAAGTTTTACTAAAACCATTTTTTATTTAAAAAGCTTTTTTTTAAAATATTTATTTTCAAAAATATTTACTAAAAACATTTTTTATTAAAAAAGATTTTTACTAAAAACATTTTTTATTAAAAAAGATTTTTACTAAAAACATTTCTTATTTAAAAAAGTTTTTACTCAAAACATTTTTCATTTAGAAAATTTGTTACTAAAGACATTTTTTATTTAAAGAAAGTTTCAATAAAAATATTTTTCATTTATAACGATTTTTACTAAAAACATTTTTCATTTATAACGATTTTTGCAAAAAACATTTTTTATTTGAAAAAAGTTTTACTAAAACCATTTTTTAATTGAAAAGCTTTTTTTTAAAAACATTTATTTTCAAAAATGTTTACTAAAAACATTTTTTATTAAAAAAGATTTTTACTGAAAACATTCCTTATTTAAAAAGTTTTTACTGAAAACATTCCTTATTTAAAAAGTTTTTACTGAAAACATTTATTTTCAAAAATGTTTATTAAAAACTTTCACTAAAACATTTCTTATTTAAAAAAGTTTTTACTAAAAACATTTTTTATTCAGAAAATTTGTTACTAAAGACATTTTTTATTTAAAAAAAGTTTCACTAAAAATATTTTTCATTTATAAAGATTTTTTATTTATAACGATTTTTTACAAAAAACATTTTTAATTTGAAAAAAGTTTTACTGAAACCATTTTTTATTTAAAGAGCTTTAAAAAATATTTTTACTAAAAACATTTCTTTGTAAAAAAAGTTTTTACTGAAAACATTTCTATTTAAAAAAGTTTTTACTGAAAACATTTTTTACATAAAAAAGTTTCCATTTAAAACATTTTTATTTAAAAAGTTTTTTACTTACAAAATTCTTATTAACAAAATTTCTACTATTAATAAATTTAAAAACATTTCTATTAAGAGAAATTTTTGAAGAAAAACTAATTTTTAGGAAAATTGAAATTAGTCGATTAATTAAAAATTTATTTATGTATATATAAACAAAATGTTTCATATTTGAAAGAAGGAAAAGCGCCGAATATCGTCTCGCGTATTATAATTATTTTTATATAATTATATTAAATAATTTTGTTTTTTTTTAATTTGTAATTTAAAATGTATTTCGCGAATATGAATCGCGGCTAACTTCCCGTTTTTTTTTGTTGCTTTTAATAAATCAGGCACATATCTAAAACATTTTCACGTTGCTTTTAATAATGGTTAATTAACGGCAAGGCACAAATTTCAATTTATATTAGATTTCCTATAATATACATTATTAATCTAAGAGAGTAGATTCAAATTACAGAATAAAGAGAAGGCAACTAGTTTATGATACGTACACTATTATTACATTATAGTAATTCTCGAACTTGCGTATTGTATTGTTTTTCTGTTGTTTTAAAATTTTTTATTAGAAAAAAATTCTTTCTCTAAATTATTACTGCAAGCTACATATTTTTTCGAAAAATGCGTTTAATTAATTTTTAAGACTATATTTTTTTCAATTAAGGTATTTAAGAAACCTTATGATGTATTATGAATGTGAATATATTCGAATTATAATTTTTTTTCTGAAATTATTTTAATTAATTAATTTTAATTATTAATTAATAATTATCCAATTAAATAAATTTCGTTCATTTGAACGTTCAAAACTTTCGGGACATGAATAATAATTAATAATTGTTTAATAATATCATTTAATAACTATTCAGTAATTATTTTTATTATTTTAATTTAACAAATATAAGGAACAAGCCCTTTAATAATATTTATTTAGTAATATTTTTGTTTATTAATTAAATTTAATAATAATTATTTAATAGTATTATGTTCTGAATGTTCTTTTCTCTCTTGACCCGTTTGTGCAATAATAAATAAATAAATAATTTAATATTATAGTATTTAATAATAAAATTATTATTTTGAAATTAAATTCTAAAGAAAAAAATTTCTTGTACTAAAATTATTAATTAAATTCTTTTGCCCTTTATATTAAATTTATAAATGAATAAATATATAAATAAATATATAAATAAATATATAAATAAATATATAAATAATAATGAGAAATAATTAATATATTAAAAGAAATAATTTTCAATAGAAATAAAATGTGTCAGAGTGACTTAAATTGTAAAAGTAAATATAAATTAATTCAAGTAAATATTTTTTCTATTACTAGGAAAATGGAATGTAAACTGAATATATAACGATACCTCTGTTAGCGTCGAACTCTATAAGTGACGATCTCGCCTAGAGACGAGAAATTGCTGCGCGCGCAGTTCCCCTTCTCCAAGGGGGCGTGGCTTAGGAGGCAACTCGTCAGTAGTAGAGGCATCAGTGTATTAATTTACTTTGAAATTGCAATTGTTTTTAATTTTAAAAATTCCGTTAAATTGCTAGTATCATTGTTTAACAAATTCACCAAATTTTTAATTATTTATTTATACAAAAATCATTTAATTATTTTCTTTTCATCATTAATTATAAAACATTTGTGAATATAGAATAGATTCTCCAAACAGGAATCATTCCAAACTTGCCGTTAATTCACTTTATTTTTCATTATTATTCATTATTCCCTTTTTTCTAAAGTCCGCTATTCGGCGTTTCTCTACTAAACTACACAGAAACAGTCATTAAGTAAAAATTTACAATTATTAAATAAATTATTTGAAATTTACAATAATTAAATGAATTATTTGAAAATTAATAGCTAAAATGATTTTTCGAAATTGTTGAATGAAATCTAAATAAATAAATAAAAGATTGTTTTTAAATGGTAGATAAATAAATGTTTTTCTTTCTCTAAAAATTGGTAGCTAAATGAAACTTTTTTTTAAAAAAAATGGTAGCAATGACTAATAGTCTCTAGAATACAATTCCAGAACTTTTTTTTCATGCACCCAACGACGAAATAAAAATGCTCGATCAAAAATTAATTGAATTTTCTCCGGTATTGTTTGCTAAAAGAAAAAAAAGGAATCAAGAGCCTATTCATAAAAAACTTCTTTTACTGTTCTTAAAACGGAATAAAAGTCTATAATCTTTTATCACTTATAATACCCTATTCATCGCCCTCAATAACCTTAATCCCAAAAGCCCCTAATTGGACGAAATATTCAGCCTTTTACGATCAAACTCGAAATCCTTTCATTGTCAAACTCGGGAAACAAAATCGTCTCTCTGCGATATATAATTCTCGTAATTTTTCATATCTCTATTTATCACAATAGTGATGAGACATATCCATATTTTTTTTTCTGAATATACAGAGCTTAGACAAAAGTTATTTTTTTAGTAAACATTATGGCAGTTTTGCCTCTCGATATTTTTTGTTGCGACATTAAGATTCGACTTATTCTTGTCTTAGGTAATACATATTTTTTAGTGATAATGCAGCATCGAGAGAGAGAGAGAGAGATAGAGAGAGAAATGTATAACATAGTTGTGTATTTAATTGTACACTATCTTTTGTATAGAATTTTGTAACCAGGAAGAACCAGAGGATGACCGGACCACTACTAGTGGTAGCAGCGTCTAGTTCTTGCTGCAAGGGATTTAATTTAATTTTCTAAAGTACAGCGCTGAAATACACTTTTTTTGAAGACATTCGTTGTAGAGCTATACATCAAAAAACGGACTTCGATTTAAATTCGAGAGACGTGAACATAGAGTGGGAGGCGTTCGGTAGACTGACGCTGCGGATTGTGAGTGCCATTCTGCCTGCAGTGTTTTGAATTCGCCTGAATGAGCTCCCTTGTTTCGCTGGGAGAACCAGGACTGATACTGTTTGTTGTCGACGTCTCGAAACGATCGCTGATCGCCTCCTCCTCGGTGATTTGTTCGAGAAATAAATTCGATTGAATTGGTATTTGATGGTCACCGTTTGATACTGAGGGTGATGTTGGTGAATATGCTGGCGGTGGACTCCTGGGCAATGATATGGAACTCTTGTCGTCGTCTGGGGTTTGAATGGAACCGGACGATGTGGTGTTTCGCATTTGTTTGGCGCGACGTGCGTGCCGAGTGGTGAGGCCACCGGTTTCGACGTCTCTCTCGAGACGATGACCTGATCTGGATCTGGTCAATTGTCGTTGGACGTATTCCTCGAGATCGGATTCCTCGCGTCGGGCAATGACGCGATTTAGAATAATGAGGAATATGCCAATGAAGACGGCAAAGAGACCGGTAATGACAAGTTCATTCCACCAGTTGCCGGTCGTCTTTGTGCCCCAGGATGAGAAATCGCTGGGTACTAGTCCACTGGCGAGGAGGAATGCTCCGAGTACGACGAATACGACGCCAATGTGAAGCATTCCAATTGATGTGACGACTTTTGAGTCGACCATACTTTGTCCGGCGGCACGATGAGAATTGGCGGCTTTATGATGTCTTGGTGGATGATCCAAGGAGCCGGTTGACGCTCTTGGGGATGTTAAACCACTTTCGCCTGATTGAATGCTGAAACGACGTTCTCGAGCGCGACGCTGCTCGTCCCGACGCTTTCGTTGACGCTTGATGGCCAAGGCCGAATGCAATCCCACCGCGTGCATCCTGCAACACCGGAAACACAGTCTTCTCAGTGTATTTCTAATCTGAGGGGGTGCTTTTGTTTTTCTAATTCAATTTTTTTTTCTTTAACCGTTATTGCCCTTTATATTTCTGGCATTTTTTTTTATTCTTTCATACAAAAATTAAAATAATTTACTCTCTGAATCTAAATCAATTTAAATTTTAAGTGACTTTTTGCTACGTCAACTTGGTAGAGGGAGACAAGTAGTCTCTATCGTCCCCTCTTCTTTCCTCGTCTAATGACGCATGCGCGGTAATGAATGTTTTTGTAAATTTAACTGAGAACCGAGTAAATAAGTAAAACAGTAAATAAAAAAATATAAATATATATATAAATAAATAAATATATAATAAAAATAAATATATAATAAAATAAAAAATAAATAATAAAGAAAAATATATAAAAAGAACGCCAATTTTTTTGTTACTGCGCAAGCGTTATTAGACAAGGAAAGAAGAGGGGACGGTAGAACACTACCTGTCTCTTTCTATAGAGTTGATTCGCTCTCATATTTAAACCTTTATTATATTTCAAATATTAAATGAAAATAATTTTTCTTCTTAAATCCTAAACCTGAACTGATTCAGATTTAGAGAGCATACTCTTATGATTGAAAAAATTATGGTAACCTTTTAGTAATTAATTTAATTATATAAAATAATTTTTTTCAAGATATTTCTTTTATATTATTTTTTTAATCATTTCTTTTTAAATTATTTCTGTAAATTATTTTTTTAAAATTATTTTTAATAAATTATTTTTTTTAAATGATTTTTTTTAAATTATTTTTTTAAAAATGATTTCTTTATATAAATGATTTTCTTTCATATTGTTTTTTCTGTTTTAATGATATTTTATTTTTAAATTATTTTTCAAAACTCAGATATTTTATAACTGCAGTTGGAGGAATTCGAAATGAAATGAATGGTCAGGTATTTGAAATTGAATTTTTCTGAATAGCCACACACTAGAATTTATAAGAGGAGGAATTCCTTTTTACGAATGTAAAGAATTTCAAGCTTTCTCTATCATATATATGTATGTATGTAAAAGTCAATAAATTGGCACGCTTTCAATTTTGTCATTGAAATTGCAAAATTTCCATTTGTTTTCTAATTCTATTTTATTTTGATTTCGAGTCTCAATTGACATTGTTAAATAAAAAATAAATTAAAAAAAGTGTGAATTTTTAGTTTAAGACAAAATAGAAATAAGTAAATAAAAATAAATAAATATTAATAAAGAAAAATAAATAAATATAAATAAATAAATAAAAATAAATAAAAATAAATAAAAATAAATAAAAATAAATAAAAATGAGTAAAAAAAATAAGAGAAGAAGTATTAAGAAAAAATCTAATAAATAATTCCATGATTTCAAATTTTTGTCTATTAAATTTTCCTGAATAGAAAAAAATTGTCATATATTAAAATACAAAGAATGCAACGCCATTTGATATTTAAAAAAAGAAAAGTGTCGTCGAGTCGCGTCTTACTTTTTTAATGCAATACAATTTTTTTTTCTCCATGAAATATGAATTTCTTTATTATTTGATTAAAAGAAAAAGAAAAGTGGAAAATGAATATTAAAAATTAAGTTAATATTTCTGAATATTAAAATCAAGTTTCCATCGTGATGAGAAATCGTGCCTTGAATTTATTGAAACTTGTAGATTTCTTTTTTTTAAGAAGGAACGTGTATTAAGAAATTTAAAATTAAAATAAGAAAATAGGAAAGGAATGAAATTTTTTTTTCTCCCGAAATATTTGAATATTTTTTTTTTTGCACGTTCCAAAAAGAGAATAACAAAAAAGAAAAAAGGTGTATTATAAAAGAATCGTTTTTTATCGATTCTTATTCACTGATTTTTGACAATATGTCAAGTGGAGAAGAACATCTTTTATCCACTCTTTTTTTTTCTTATATACAAACAGGTCAAATGGAGCATAAAAAAAAGAATATTCTCCCACATTACTCTTTATCTGTCAGAAACATTCTCTATTATCTTTTTTTGTTTAAAAAAAAAAATAAAATATATTTCTCACCATCATGGTGAATGGTTTTTTTTTTCTCTATATAAAGAAAAGGGAAACGTTTGGCTGATAATTTACTGAAAAATTGAGAATTTATTTTTATTTTATTTCAAGTAATAATTGAGAAATAATAATAATTTAAAAATTAGGAAAATTGTTAAATTTTTCTTTTTTTAAAAAAAAATTCATCTTGAAATTTTTGCCTGTATATTAATAATGTATCTTTTTTTTTTTGCAGATGATGATCGATTTTTATGGTGCAACTATTAATAAAGGTGAGAAATAGAATCTCGATTATATTATTTTTAATATTTAAAATTAAACTGCAAAAAGTGAGTTTAAATTTTGTTCGCTCATTTACTAGAATGTTAATTTAGAACTGCACGTATCCATCAAGTGCCACTAAAACATTTTAAGTGAGACTTAATTTAGAAACTGCCAAATGCATAATATTGAAACATTGATTAATATTCCTGACTTTGTGCGTTTGTTGTTAAATAATATTTTGAAATATTCATATTTTGCAATACGATTGCAATACAATTATTTTTATTTTATTTTTATATTTTTTTCTCTATTTATATTCTATTAATTCTTTATTTCTCAATATTTATATTTATATATTCTTTATTTCTTTTTATTAATATTCCATTTATTCTTTATTTCTCTGTATTAATATTCCATTTATTCTTTATTTCTCTCTATTTATATTCCATATATTCTTTATTTCTCTCTCCATTTAATATTTCATAGATTCAAAAGTTAAAATATACTAATTAATTTTTCAAACATTCGAAAATTAGAAATTTAAAATTTACTCGTTCGATAATTATTTTTAATTGGAATTGTCTTTTATTTTTTCGCTTTTTAATTTTCTTCAATTAAGTCTCTTGTTATCGATCCTCATCCATTTTCTATTATATTATTTTTTTAAATTTTTATGTTGCTTTTAATTGGATTATTTATTAATTTATTTTTTTTTTTTTGAAAAAATTATCATGCTTACTAAAAAAGAAAAAAAAAGAAAAAAAAATAAAAAAAATCGAAAATGAATCATGAAAAGAGTCAAAAAAACAAATTAAAAAAAAAGAGTCAAAAAGAAACTAAAAAGAAAAATAAACTAAAAATAAAATTGTTCCGTCTACTTCTGTAAAAGAAATAATTCCAGTATATGAAAATAATTGGGAGGGAGGTAAAGTTTAATTTTAATTATTAGCAGAATTTTTTTTTTTTTTTTTTTTTTTTTTTTTTTTTGAGGGGGGTAAAATATGAGTTTTGAAAAATATGAATTTGCCCTGTTATCGGCGTTACAGGATGCACTGCGATGGATTTGATTATGCTGTTTCTGTAACGATTAGTAGTAAATTTTTAATTGCCACATCACGCTTCATCGCATCAATTTAATATAAATTCATTCAAATCTTTTATTTCTGTTTTTCACTCATATAACAGTTTACAACTTAAATATATATGATGAACATACACCCAAATTCATGCGACACATTTTTTTTAAATAATTGAAAAAAAACCGCTCACATTATTTTTTTTAAATAATTGAAAAAAAACCGCTCACATTATTTTTTGAAAATATTTTTTAAAAAATACATTATTTTTTGAAAATAATGTTTAAAAAACACATTATTTTTTGAAAATAATTAAAGAAAACGCATTATTTTTTGCAAATAATTTAAACAACAATACACATTATTTTTATTAAATATTAAAAAAAAAATTCTAGAGATTGAATTTTATATTACTTTTTTTTATATCCCAAATGGAAATTTATTCCACATTTTCGATATTTATTAAAATTAAAAAAAAAAAAATACTGTGAAAAATTTTTTATAATATCCATAAATGGAAATTTATTTTTCATTTTAGCATATTTATTAAAATTCGAAAAAAAAAATGTTGTAAAGTTTAAATTTCCTCTCTCTTTTTTTTATCAAAATGGAAATTTATTTGACTTTTGCCATTTCGGAGTGAAAATAAACCGGGGGGAATTAAATTTGGAATAATGCCAAATATATAATTCTTATTGTTTCGTAAAATATTATTTTTTTAAATTTAATTATAACAAGAGTAGAAAATAAATCTTACTTTCAAACCACTTTTGACCAAAACTGTTTGAATTATAACCATTTTTGACTGAATTTTAGCCTTAAAAATATTTTAAATGATAAAAATTTTTTCCTTTAAAAAATTAGCTTTAAAAATATTTTTAAGGCTAACATTCAATAAAAAATGATTAAAAAATATTTTTTGGGTTAGAATTTTTGGCGTAAAAATATTTTTAGACTGACAATTTTAGCCATAAAAAAATATTCAAAAAAAAATTTTTTTTTTTAAATTCTTTTTTGAATTAAAAAACTTTTTTGAATCAGAAATTTTCTTTGATCATAAAAAATATCATTTTTAATATAACAAACTTTTTTGAATCAGAAATCTTCTTTGAATAAAAAGTCTTCTTTGAGTCAAAAATCTTCTTTGACTCAGAAACCTTTTTTAAATCAAAAATCTTTTTCATTTAAAGGAAAAAAATTGATTTTGAATGAATAGCTAAATCGTATAGGCAATTAAAATTAAAATAAACATTTAATGCAAATGATATAAAATATATTTTAAAAAATTTTTTTAAATTTTAAATTAAAAAAAATTTTTTTTTATTTTTCAAAAACGAAAAATAGAATTTTTTATTCCTGCTTAGCGAGTTTCTTATTGACAAGATCAAACGCACTTTATATAGAAAAATGTTATAAAAGAAAGTTGAGAATTAAGATAACACGTCTCAAATGAAATGTTAAAAAAAAGTGTCTATCTGGAAATATGGGTCGAGTCTCTTTTTTTTTTTTTAATGAGACTGTTCTATTCATTTTTTTTTTGTTTTGTTTTTTTATTTTCTTTTTGCTGTCAGGGAATAATAATCTATTCCAAGCCACATTTTTAG